TGCTGCTCCGGAGGGATGGTCGTTTCCTGGCATCGCGCTTCGCCGTGGAACAGTGGCCGAATCCGGGCCCTGCCCCTACGGGCACAGCCTCCGTCCCGCGCCCTCCCGCGCCGCCCGACGCCACCTGCTTTTACACCGGGGCGGTGCTCCAGCACCCCGGCTCGCTGGCCTCTTTCAGCACCTGCGGAGGTGGCCTGGTAAGCGCCTTCCTTCCCTATCTCTCTGCTCTGTCTGCCTCCCCGTTACTCTCTCCGTGCCCCTGCACCAGGCTGATCTGCCCGCACCTCCCTGGCCCTTCCATGTATTCCTTCGGAACCCAGCACTAGCTGCAGTGCCCAGAGGTCTGAACCATTTGCCTCAGTTGAGACCTCTCCAGGGCAGACCCGGGAATGGGAAGTCTCATCAGATGAATGGACTTTTAGATGGTTATAAATGCTTCCGAATGCTATATGAAGTTCGACCTCCTCCTGACTTCTTGCCAACGGTTCTTCTGTTCTTCCAAGTTTCTAGAGTCAACCCACCCCGTGGTGGCTAGGTGGTGTCGCGTAGCCGACTGAAACGAACCAGTATGCTCCCTGCTAATTCTTCCCCAGCCGAAGTTCCTCATCCATTAGCTGAGTTCTGCTTGCTTGTTTTATTTATTTAGTTTTTTGGTCCCACTTCAGTTAGGAGAACACTTCTCTTAGAAGTTGCGCTCTGACAGCTGTTAGAATTTAGACATCGTCATGAGTCTAGACACCTGTTCCCTGTTTCTGACCCAGGCAAGAGTGGAAGACGAGTCAACTGAGAGATTGGCTTTGTGGTCAGATAGGTGGTACTGGCGTCCAATTAGTGTGTAGTTCTGTGACATTTTCTTTTCTGCAGATCACACTTTATGTGATAGTACAAGCGACCTTGCTGAAAGGCCGGTGGGACTGGAGAGTGAAAGCTACTTGTTCTGTTAGTATAAACGGTTCCATTTTTCTCCTTGTCTTGGCAAAAGGCTTGGAATAATTATTACTTTCCGTAAGTTGGCCTTTGTGTGTGTCTGGGGGGTGGTGGTTAAAATATATAAAATAAAAACTACCATGTGAACCATTTGTACGGGTCGGTAGAATTAAGTAAATTCAAGTTGTTGTACAACCAACACCACCATGGTCTTTACTGTGGGTTTAAGGCAAAACCATTGAAGAAATCCACAATCACTTCTGTAAAAGCAACTTCCTTACTTGGAGGGAAAACCCAACAGCAGTGGTTAGCACAATAAGAACCACCTAAAGACGCCTAAAGTTAAATTAAACTGGAAATTTTTACCCATGTCCCCCTAAAATCCAGTAGTCAAATGAGGAAAATTGCTGAGCCGGGCTGTTTTTTGCTAGTGGTTCATAAGGGTGAATATTTAAATATGGATGTTTTTAGGTGTGAGTGAATAAAAATGGCATGGAACGATTACATGAAAATCTTTAACAGAAAAAAAAATCTTTTTAAAAATGTTTTTTTGTGTAACTGGTGCTTGACACATCATGGGAAAATATTTTGTAGGGATTTCATTGTCCACTAGTTTTTGGCTAGAGATTAATTGCATATAGAAAGTTTCTGGTGTGGTAATAGCAATAGAGAATAAAACATTTCACTGTGTTGAAATGTGAGGTTTGGGTCAGATTTTCCAAATGAGCTATGTCCTCTTTCTATATTTAAGGGAGCATAGTTAGAATTATGAGTAGCTTTTTCATGGACTGAATAGGAGTTTGACTTACCTCCCTGTTTATCATGTTGGATTTCTTCTCACTTTTCCTGTTAGCCACTTATGTATATTTCTGAACTGGGAAGTCTTTGTTATTGAGGAAAATTGACATTGCCAGCAATACAGTATAGCAGTCAGACTTCGAGCAAAGAAGTTAGGCAAATATCCAAGGTGGGTGGGTTTGTTGCTCTAGACTCTGCCATCCCATCCCCACTCCTGTAGGAGCTGGTGGATTAAAAAATAGAGAGCACAATTTGGTATCTAAACTCTGGCATGTAGAAACGAATTCCTTACCTTTCTATGAGTAAAATCAATTAGATGATTGCACTTAAAATTGGATGGTATAATTAGAATTCTACTAAATGTTAAATTAACTGTAATGTAGGTGCTGTATTAGGGACTAGAATATCTTGGTTTTAGGAGCTCACAGATGAGAAGGGCTACATATCCAAGTGGATGTGCCAGGAGGCATCATGCAGGAGTAACATGCCAGCACGGTGAATCAACTGCTGTGCCTAGAGACACAACCTGCTAGGGGAGTTGTGGGAGGCTCCCAACAATAGAAGGAGTTCAGCTGAGATCTGAAGCTTGAGGAGACTTTATCCAAGCAGCTGCTGAAGAGTCTTCCAGGTAGAGGGAAGCCAATGAGTGGAGGTGTGAGGATTTAGATCCTGTCCAGGAAACAGAGCAACAACAACACAAAAAAATCCTCCCACGAGTAGGCCAGAGGTGCAGTATGAGAAGCGATCAGGACAGCGGTGGCAAACCTATGTCACGAGTGCCACAGTGGGCCGTTGGTGTCATGGAAAGCTCTACAAAGTTTGCCATGACTGTCCTAGACTGTTGAGCTCAAAAGCCTTGTGTGACAGTGCAGAGGCTCTTTCTGACGGTACCCGTTCATTGGCTTGTATTCGTGCTGGCCTACATTTGTAGAATTCTGTGATCCTGTTTTTCTAATGGAAGACATTAAGATATTTTTATATAGGAGATGAAGTATTTATGTGTACAATTGGATTTAATTTAGAACAACAGTATTTTTCTTAAAGTTTTGTGTTGTGCAGTTCCTCAGAAAAGAGTAGAACATGAAGTGCACCGTTGCTTCGCCCTCTCTGTGGCTAGTTTTGCCTGTGACTTAACATCCCGACTCAACAGCTTTGGATGACTATACATTTAAGTGATCCACAAGCCTCTGTAAAAGGAAACAGATTCTCAGATACCCAGCGGTAGACGTTTATAAGATTGGTCAAGTTGTTCTCCAGATAGTAATTAGCGTTTTGTGAGTAGTGCCAGAAAACAAGATTTTTTTGATGAGTACTACGTCATCAAATACTTAATCTTTTTGGATTTATTTTACTTACAAAGTGTACAAATTTTACTTTCGAATCTAGCAACCAGTTTAAGATGTGTTATCCTCTTTTTTTCCATTTGAACTATTACTGAATGATAATCTTATTCTAGCTGTATATTAGGTGGGATAGGCACACAGTGATCATGACACTAAACAATTCCTATGACTAAGGCATTTTGCAAATACAGAAAATACAGAGAGCAGGTGAAGAAGCCATGGTATGTTCCAAGGAGCTCTCCACCTGATGTTCCAGTCACAAATGTAAAGGACAGTGTAATAGATGGAGGCGTGTACAAATAGAGACGTGCTCCGAGGGCTGGGGTGGTAATAGTTTGTTCCTTCCTTTTCATTCCCAACATGTGGTAGGATGTCTAGTTTCTGGTAGACACTAAGTAACATCACTGAATAATAATGAACAACACATAAAGTACTTTATTATAACTTAAATGATAGTCTTTCAATAAGCAAAATATGTAAAAGTAACAAATATTTTGAAAGAGTGGAACAATTGCATTTTCTGTCAATTATCAACACAATTTAAAAATAGATATATATTGATGCTCTGAATCAAATTTAAATAGATCCTTCACCCGTGGCTAGTTAGATTATTTTCACAAAATGATGAATAGTGGTTATTAAATCTTTTACTACTTTACTGAAATGAAGAGTTTGAGGTAGTGGTAGTCATTTTGATTAGATTTGGAAACAATCTGGAGCTTCATATATATTCTCTCTCTCTTTTTTCTGTACTTTATCATCTTGAATCAAAGTAAGGTGTACTGTGGCAAGTTTTGAACAAGCTCCTTTTGGGTGCCTTTACTTTGGACAAGTCGCTGTGTCAAGAACCATCATGAGAGCAGGTTATCAGGCAGCAATGAAGGAAGGAGGTGCATGACAAGACCAAAGGGAACTGACATTCAAATGAAAAGGTGGAGGACATAGATGGACCTTCTTCCCTCGAGCCACAGTGTAGAAATGGTAGAAGAGATACTCTAAACAAATATGACACACTATTGTAAGTGAATGCCATTAGTATATCAAACATTTAAACATATCATGAAAGACTGAAAAAGTTTGGCTTCCATTAATGAAAACATGTAGGCTTCAGAAAGCTTCTGTGAATGGTGGCAGTCATACCAAAAATTCCTGTCTACCTTCAGGGAAAGGGGACACAGTATATTGAAGGGAACCCAAGCCACAGGTGTGTCCCTGGGCAAGAGCAAAAAAAAAAGTAGAGATGTACTGTGGGCAAGAAAAAAAAAATAGAGATGAAGTTTTGCTGGGCACATTGGTGATACTCTGCATAGAAAGGCCCTCCTCCCCACCTCAAAAGATGAGTCTTTGTCTCTACACCCATTAGAAGGTTCTGCTTTCTCCAGATAACTGGAACTGAGCATTGTAAGCTGAGCTCGTCTCAAGAGACAGGTGAACAGGAAGGAAAATAGATGAGCCAACACCAAAGAAGCCGATTCTTTTAAGAGTGTGAACTGTGTAAGAGAGTCATCAATTACTGCCACCTGATCCAAGAGGCAACAAAATAATGGAATAGACAAATGGAACTATGATTCTCAGAAGAATAAGAGCAAGTATATATGTGGAAAAAATACATTTAAAAATAGGAAAAAATGCTTTCCATGAAAAATGATTAGAAACAGTGGAGACAAAATCACATGGACATTAGAATAAAAGCTAAAATCAGTGTGTGAACTGATGGATAAATTTGTGGCCTAGAAGATCAAATCCAGAAATTACTTCAAAGCATCGTGCAAAAAACCCAAAATCAATATAAAGTATGAAAGAATAATTGTGCTCCAAGATTCATAGGCCTAGATCTAAAATTTCTATAACAGGAGTTATTTTCTAAAAAATCAGTTAAAGATGAAAATTTTGAAATGCATCCACTTGTGAGGGATTCACATACAAGCTTTGGATATAAAGCCATATTCTATTTTTTTGTTTTAGTGTTTGAGACAGGGTCTTGCTGTGTAATTCAGGGTGGCTTTGAATTCATTACGTAGTGTAGGCTGGCCTTAAACTTGAGGCTGTGCTCCTTCCTCAGCCTTCTCACAGGTGTGTGCCACCATGCCTGGTTTAGATTACTCTTTAGAATACAGGTTGGATAGATG